AGGGAAAACAAGTATATGAGTACACGTAACATCCTGTGGTGTGGATAATTGGCAGTTTACAGAGGCTTGACTGAATCTCTCATCGGGAGTGAATTGATCAGCCATCAATCTGAGAGTGGAGTCCGGTTCGAGCGAAACTAAGCATGCGCTGAGCACGCAAGGTGCTGCTGAAGGATACAAGAGACTACATTGTCCACATATCTCTTTCAGATGCTTTGAGGCTTTCAAAAGTGCTTTTCTAGAAAGTAACCAACTCCATCCCTTTAGTTCACCATGTCCAATACGTCCTACTCGACCTACGACCAATCTCCATGGTTGCACCTGAGATAAGAAAAATATATTATAAATATAATATACAGTATCTATAAAATAAATAATAAAAGAAAAATAATAAAATAATAAAAGAATTTTTATATTTTAATAAATGTAAAAATGTGTCGATGAGGAGCAAAATTATAGTTTTATACGCGTGCGTACAATAGCGAGAATACCCTTGTACATATTATCATCCGTATATTTGGAATAAAAGAAATAGAAATAGATATAATAGTATATATGTATATATGTTTTCTGCGCTTTTATTTACCAGTTTTTGTTGCCTGTTGCGTTATATATATTCTGTTAGAGTCTTGAATTTATTTTTTATTGTTAGAAATAGATAGCTAGGCACTTGGGTATTATTACCTTTAATAGTATTATAAATTGTTTTTTACTTACACCCTGGGACATTACGCTTAATATAAAGTCCATGAGTTTTTGAAGGCCGATACGCCTAGCTGAAGCTCGTTTTCTTCTCTTCCTATTGGGTATGTCAATATTTATGGTAGCGGTTTCGAAAATTTCACCCCTGTCGTCGGTCGCAGCTGCCAATAGCCAAGACTGATCCTCGCTCAAACAATAGCTGAGATAGAGCACCGCGCATTCCTCGGGCCTCGCCATGCCGAATGATTCGGGAGCTTCACTCTTCGCCCGCAGCGGTGCCAACACGAAAGCCGGTGCATAGAGCCGGTAAGATGCCTTGTTCCGTTCCTGATGTATAGTTACAAGAGTATTACTAAATGACTGAAAACGATGTATATATCGTGGATCTTTAATTTCATGCTATCTTATCGCAACGCATGAACAGAAAACGAATTATTCTCAACCATGTCATAACAAACGATCGAGTAATAAAACTTACGTCTTTACTCTTGAGAAAGAGATCTGCAGCGGCGGCAGTACCGAAACCGGTGAGACTTTTTACTGTAGAATTATGGTTTAACAATCGACGCCCTTGCAGGAAGACATTCAATGCCAAGGCTCGCATTTCATCTTGAATCTTTCGCCTCTCTCGAGCTCGTCCTAATTCCATTATGCTTTCCAAGGATATTATCTGAAAAGCAAATTGATTGCAGTTGCATAAGTAAATTAGCGATGCACCATATTGCATTCTAAAAAAGACCTAGCCAAAAAATGATAAATTTTTGTTTATACTTGCAGAAAAGACTCAATTTCTTTAAGCCAATAATTAAGTTATTAGATAAATTATTGAAACATTCAAAATAAAAAGAATTTCAATTATATTCTTAAAATGTTATATATAAATGTGCATCTTTAAAATATAATTTATAAACAGAATCTTGACTCTCTTTTCCAAGTACGTCTTAAAACTTCACAGTGTATACCACAGTGATTAAGTCATTGATTCTTCATCATTAAGATTCTGCATTTGATTATCGGTTGTTACCTGAACATGAATATTTGATCTCATATTCTCAGGCATGCTATTGATTGCGGATGAGTAAGCTCTGAGTAAAGCTAAAATGGCGAGTCGTCGTCGATCGGGATCCTCAGTGCCGCCTAAAGAGAATGGTTCGACAAAATAGACAACGATGGCCGGAGGCTCGATCTCCTCCTCGTCCGGACCCGTAGTTGTAGTAATCGGCGTGGTGGTGCTTGTAGTTTGTGAAGTCGGTGTTGTATTACCGGTTGTATTAGTAGCGGTTTGATTTGTCGCTGTGCTCGTTGAGGAAGGAGTCTCACTTCGCGGATTCTCTCCTTCTGCAAGTGACAAAAAGAGATCTTGTTAATATCGCTCAACTTATCTCGTCAAAATACGATCTAACGATAAAACGTACCAACAGACTCGGGTTTGGTCGTTAATACATCGGGTGTAGCTGGCATAGTATCGGAAACAGGAATAGTAGATTGCTGTTTGTTGGACGATTGCGAATCACCAGGATCTAACAAACTACGGTCTTGTATAACCTGCGTCAGATACGGGGCTAACCGATGATTACACACTTGAGCGTACAGCCTCAACAATTCGCCTAGATGATTCTCTCCCAAAAACTTGAACCACTCATCCATTGGTTGCTTTGCGAGTTTCTGCGCGGTCGATTTGCCGACGCGTAGGATTCCATCGCGTAATTGTTTCGAAATTGGCGTGTGCCTTCCTAATCGGCAAATCTGTGATGAATTAAAAAATCTTAATATCTTATTACAGACGAGATTAAGCAAAAGATTCAACAAAAACATCATTTAAAGCAGACAAAAATAAATACAACTCGGATATTCATCAAGATTAGTTTGTCACATTGCTGTTTGACTATTAAATCAAGATTATTTATACAAGATAATTAATATACTTGTGTATATGTACACACATTTACCTCATATGTGCAGGACAGTTCTCGGAAGAACGACTTGACTCTATTGACAATACAATCGCTGTCGGGTGCAACGACTACATAGGCGACATCTCTGGGCCCGGCAAATGGCTCCAATGACAGCTTTTCCCAGAAACAGATTGCGTACGGCGACAATGATAGCCAATCGCGATCGTATCCAACGACTAGAGCGGGTATTGGTTGCGGCTCGCAGCGATCATCCGTGCCGCGCCCGGCTAAACGATGAAACTGCCGCCACGTGAGTGGTCCGGCAACGGTGTACGGTGCCTCCCACATACGAGTGGTACATTTCTTCTGTACCGCATCCTGGAGCAGTGGCTGTAGCGACCTCATCATCCGCACAATGTCGCCGCTACACTGGGGACCACGCGCTCTGAGGAACACCCATCGGTGCACACCGTTTACGCGCACGACCCTCTCGTTGTGCGCGCCATCAAGTTTGCCCTGATCGAGCGCCGCAACGCAAACCTCGTTACCATCGTTGAATTCTAGGGTGTTGACAGTCGGCGTCAGCGTCGGATAGCTCTTCGTGGTGGCACATATTCTAGCCGCTCGATACAGACTGCTGGCCGAGCTTTGAACAATCAGGCATTGCTCGCGCAATAATTCGAGAACGTTGGGCGATGTTATGTCGAGACCATCCGGAGTTGCTTTCGCGCCAGGACACGCAGCCGCGGCGAGTGAGCCTTTCTTTTTCTCCGCCGGGTCTTCGGCGACGCCTGTGATCTCCATTTCGTCCTCGTAGAACAAGCCTGCCCGGTGCGCGAGACGGCGGTTCACCACGGCGCTGAAACCGCAACTGCATCTAATCGGATCATCGTCCTGGAAAAGCGCAGAGCCCGCCCACGAATTGCTGAGATAAACACCCGCGTCGGCGCCTTTGATATTGCCCACTACCTTGGGTCCGGCATTGCAAACGCATAGGCTGCAACTATCGAAATTGTGATCGCGGAAGATATTGAGTGCCGTGTCGCCTAAGAGAATATTCACTATAAGAGAATTAGATTCGGGCGCACGAGCGGGTCCCGGTGTATCTGCCTCGATGCTGTTGAGATTTTTATTAAGATACGAGGAAGTAGTAGAGGTAGCCGGGCTTGGTTGGTCGTACGGCGGCGGCGGCGGCCTACCAGGAAGAGTGGCCGAGCGGTAGGGTGGCGCTGGACTTGAAGGACAAGGCTGCTGCTGCTGCTGTTGTTGCTGCTGCTGCTGCTGCTGTTGTTGCTGTTGATGCTGTTGTTGTTGTTGTTGCTGTTGTACGGATCCGGGTCTGGTTGGTGGAAGAGATTTGTCCGCCTGATTAGTGGAAGCAGGATTGCACTGCCAGGAAGGTCTGTACACGCAGTGCGATGGCAGTGTGATGGATGGCAGAGATTGGCTAGGCAGATTCGTGAGGGGTGCGTACTTGGAAGAACCGACCATTTTGCAGATAGCTGCCGGTTTGAACACGTATGACCAATCATCGATCGGCTCCTCCTGTGGAGAGCCCATGTTAGGATAAATGTCGGGCAAGTGTCTGAGCGGACGCGTGGGCATTAGAAGTTCAGTCTGGTCTATGAGGGGGTCGCTCAACTGGCAAGGCGAAGCGACCGGATTATGCTCTAAAGAAGGTGGAGTAGGAAACATCTTGGAAAGCTCCTCTGGTCGTAGAACTGTAACTCCTCGATTGTTATTCTTGTTCGTACCATCTATTCTCGTTTCCTCGTGCAATCCACCGGATTTATTCGAACCGGGCGGCGTTTGTATTTGTAGTTGATTCAAATTCTGTAAACATCAAATGCACTTTATCCACCATCTGCTATATCTTTCAAGCATATGTTATTATGCAGCCAAATTTCCATTTTTGGTTGTCGTTATAGCACAAAATTACATTAATTTAACTATTTATAATAGTGCAAATAGGTGCGAATTTACCGTTTCGTCACTGGAAGTATCAGCGTCGGAATTGTCAAATATTTGATCTAAATCTTTGTAGGATGGTTGAAGACCCTCGCTGGTAAAGAGAGATCCTGGTTTAGACGGATCGTCCCTCTGTCGTCTGAGACCATCGACATTTGTGCCATTTTCTTCACCCGTCGCATCAAATTCGTATGGATCGGTTCTTCTACCAATACATTCAGCCTGACATTGCAAAATATAATATTTGTTAATATAATATTAATATAATACAAATGTTTGTTTTAATATTTTCTAGCATTTTAAAGCATAGTAGAAGAAAATAGGGTAAAGCAGACTACTATTAGATACGTTTGAATATGTTCGGTTTGACCTAATTTTATCTTTTATATAATATCACTTACAACTGCGACAGGTTCTTGTTTAATTTCCAGCTTAGGTGCTTGAGACTGGAGCGTTTGAGAGTTCATCGGTGGGTATAGAATGTTGCTGCGGTTGATCGGGGGACCGGTGGTGCTCGTGGCCTTGAAACGCTTCACGGGATGATTCAGCCATGCCTCCTGAAGCGAGTAATCGTACAGCCAAGACAAGGGTTGCTCGTCGTCTAAGAGAGCGCCCTCGTATTCCCTGGACGCCAAGACCGGTCGTTTCAGTATCGGCCCGGGAACCGATGGACTGTGCACCTGATTGTTGCACGCGGAAGAAATGGACTTGGGCCCTTGCGATGGGGTCAGAGGTGGGGCAGTGTTTGTGTGACTGGGTGGCGGTTGCGGACTGAGAGTCGGCATCGTGGGTTCCGCGGGCGGAACTGACGCCGGCTCAGAGTGCGGAGTCAGGAGGGGTGACGGTGCTGGAGAACCTGGTGAGCCAACTGACGGTACCGGTAGACAATCTCCTCCCGTTGGTGGTCCACGCGAATACGAAGGAGGACCGCCCGGTGGTGTACTAGGTGCTTCCGTTCTACTTAGTACCGACCTGTTCGATTTTTAAACAGATTGAATACATATAAATATGTTTCATGACTCTAATCTTATAATCGCAAAAATGAAATTAGTACTCATGTTGTATGAATGAGAGAAAGTACTAAAAGCGGCATATAATAAGCGGAAATAATTAAGGAAGACTAAAATGACATATCAGAGACATGTTAGCATTTCTTGGAAAGAGAGAATTAAATTATCCAAAATCTTTTAAATTTGTTTTAAATTTAAATATATAAATTATGTTTATGATATGTATCTTTTATCAGTCTTCCCTACATCGTGATTGCTTCAAAGTGATAGATTACTACTTCAAGTTATTTCTTAAGCTACTTATTAAAAATTTCTATTAATTTTTCTTTAATGTATAATTTGTTTGAATTGACGATTTTACAACATAATATAATGATAAATCGTTTAACAAGAAGTATATTCTGCACCTGTTGAAATTTAAGATGTGCATGAGTATGGATGGAAGCTTGTGACAGATATATGTTATAGATGGATCAAAAATCAAAACGTAAAGTAAGATAAATGCTAGAAATATTCTAGGCATAATAGTCACATGCAAAGCAAACTCTATTTGCTATGTGTGTGTTATATGTATAATATAGCAAAATAATTAATCAAATGAAAGAGAAATATATGTTGGAATGCACTATCAATCATATGTAAAGCTTAGATAATATCTGCTATTGAATCATGCGCATGAAAATACTTAGATCGACAAATCACATGTGAAAATTCGTTAACATGTGAAAGTTTTGTTCCTTGTTTTAGCTTCGTAGAGAGATAGTACATAAATAATAAGTTTATATAAATAATATTTGTGTGTGTTAAAGAAATACGTGCTTTGTATAAATTTGCTATATATCTATTCCTTAACATGTCAAATACATATCTGTACTTACTAAATATATACATCTCATTAGAGTATACATAAAAAATTGATACAGCCTTTTACCACAGAATTCATGATATTAATATAATATTACGAGATCCCATTCACCCAGTGAAAAAGTTCTAAATACTTGATGAGACGAGATTTGCATAGTTTTATCGTCTCAAGTGTGAAAATATTAGTCTGCCATTCGTCTTTCTTAACGCGTGATACGATCGCTGTTAAGACGCATGCTTTAAATCTTTGCAGAACAGTGATTGATAAAATCTGATTAATGCGTTATATCGTGCATCGGGTCGAGTTATTTGGACGAATTTATATGGTGGAACTGTCGAAAGCGATGAATCTGCGTGTGAAGTTATGGGGAATCATTATGATCATATGTAAAATTGGCGTTATTGCAGTGACTAACATAAGAGAAGAAATGACAAAGATGATCCTCTCTCTTTTTCTCTTTGTATCTCGGGACCCACAGAAATTACCCACCTGGGGGCATTAGCAGGGACAGAGGGACAAGCGTCCCATTGAGTGGTAGAGCGTCGGTGAAACGGTATGACCCTCCGTCCACCTTTATCTACCCTCTCCCTCTGAATCTGAGAGGAGGCCAGGCTCTTCCAACCCCCGGGGGTCGTATACCTGCAACCGATGTATTTAACATCTCGTTTCTTTTTGTGAACGATATCTCTTCTATTATTTCACTTTATAGAGTCCTGAAGCAACAATTATCAATTTCGTAAAGTAGCATATATATATAAGAGAAACTACCCTCTCTAAAGTGACATTTCAGAATAAAATGATAAAAGATTTCTCTAAACAAATATTTAGTGAAAGTTTCAGAGGTAAGTTAGGACATAAGAGATAAGTGAGATGACTTATATTTCTTACTTTTAATACATTGTCCTTGTTATTTGAAGATGTGTAATTGATGCTCTTTCAATTCTTTAAACATTAGTCGAACAATCACTAGTTAAAATGTCAAGGAAAAATTGTTAACTAGAATTATATTTTTATACTGTGGCATTTTAAATTAGTTTCTCCTCTAATTGAAACATATAGAAAAATATTTACGCGGCGATTAGAAATTACACCTCACTTTCCATTTAAACATTTTCCACTTCAGAGCCCTTTAGCTTAATTGAAATCAAATGGATATCTTAATAACTTTTAATCCTAAACAATAAATTTTGTTATAGAAACTCAAATGCAACGCATAATAATATCGTAGTACTTTTTTATCCTGTTATTATGTGACAAATATATTATTTGTGTCTCTCTGAGCTTTTGCTCCAAAATTATAAATAAGAAATTTAACAGACTCATGTGTATGCGCGTATGTGTATAGCTTTATAATAATAAATGCATTAACAAGCTGATCACTAAGAATAATTGCATTTGAGTCATCTTCAAAGACTAAATTTCCATGCATACATTACAACAGCCATCACACACTACTATCTGGTCTATAACGATTTGGATATTCTACATTTCTATATTCTGTGCTATAACATGCAAACAGAAACCAATATGATGGCAATTATTACTATTACTCAACTAACACAATATATGTAGCAAAAATTAAATGTTTACTATTGTGTTCAATATACTATAAAAATATCATAATTGGCTTTGGATTACATTGCGATTGTATACAAATAATTAAAACAATCTAATATATTATAATTACCTTATCAACTTGTACATAGTAAACAAATAATTTTTACGATGTATATAATCGAAATCTAAGTGATAGGAATCTAAAGATAGTGTCTTTCGCACGATGTAATGTATCAAAATTAGAAATGAGGCTTACTTCGAACATGAACAGGTACAGGAAGACTTTTGCGTCGGTTCCACAAACGTCCAGGTTTCAGGTTCCGTGGAAGATTCTGTTTTGGAAGCGGACACTGGCGAACTCAAAGTACATTCTGCCCACACGCGTTCCGGCAATTCGGTAGCTGCGCTCAGTTCTTGTTGTGTTAAGAGGGGTCGTTCGCAAGCGACGGGACTGCTCGGTGGTGAGAGAGGAGTTTCGGGTGGCGTATCATCCATATCCGTAACCAAGACGTAACAAGAAGGATAACGCATGCGCACGCCACCGACGAGAACCTCCACGAGGGGCGGAAGCCCGGTCTCCGGGTGACTGCCGGTACTAATCGGATAGAAGTGTTTCCATTCTTCGAGAAGTTGACTATCCATACGGCTCACTTGACCCGTCAATGTGCCCGCCAATCCGTAAGGGGCTAGGATCACTGTGGAACAAAAATAGGAAAAAACGTTAATACGCCGATGATAAATTAACAATTTAATTATGTCAACACTACGGTTGTGAATCTTTCCCTTTGCGTAACAAACTTACCCTTGACGCCGGATTGAGAGGTTTGGGTACGTTGTAGACATGTCTTTGTAAGATGTCGCACCGCAGGATGCTGCCTAACGTCCACACTTGCACACACAGTACTTTCTCCGTGGACAAAGAATGCAAATGAGAACGACAGGTGGCTGCTGCAAAAGTAATCAACGTATATAAAGATTTCAATGGATTTCAGAATTTTTCTGTATTCGCCGTCATACGCATATCAAGCGATAAAGCAATATTCGGGATCTACGTGTCCCATCTAGATATTCGTGACTGTTGTTTAAATATCAGAAATATATATTTTTCTATTGATAATTTATATCATTATTTTTATCTTACGTTAAATCTTTCTCGCGTATTAAACACTTATAAAATTATCAGATAAAATTCTGAGTTATGACGTATGAATATCTACATAGGAATCATACGTCCCGAGTATGTCACAAATGTACCTGGTTTCACGTATTAAAGTATATAAGAATATAAAATATACTTCTCTACTCTTATATCAGAGTATATGTATATTTCCGACATAAAAGTAAAATATTATTTCTTAACAAAAAATGTTATTGTTAAGCAAACATACCTGCTGCAACGGTGTTTCTCGTAGCCATTATAAGGTTGCACAAACCACTTTCCTAAACGAACGAAGTCACGGGATAGCAAACACCGTTCGATCAAGTTATGCAGAGCCTTGAAAAGAAGTGACCGGCATTCGTACGACAATCCGCTTTCCCAAGAACCCTGTTCACTTTCTGTAACGACAATAAATTATAAAATTATAAAAAAGAAAGATTTAGTTATAACGTTGCTCTTTACGCTCATATACAATGAACAATATAATGAAACTAGAATATTCTAATGCGCGCTTTGTACGGACGATCGATTTCTACAAAAATACGCAGAAATAACGGTTACACGCTGTTGCTGCTGTTCTAATTAAGCGGGAAAAACCGGGATGCCTCCTTTCAACGCTGCAAACATATATTTCCGCGCGACTACATATTTAATTATCATAGAGAGAGAGTCTTTATGTGATAAAGCAAATAAAATCCGGTCCGGTTAATATTCGTCCAACGACCGTGGCACGCGCGCATCCAAATAATGGCGAAATTTAGCGTGAAAGTAATGCGCGATTCGCGTATAAAATCACAGCGAATCGCGTCGACGGACCGGTGAGCGTTTCGCGGAAGGCAGAGGAGAAGTTGACCGAGAAAACTGAAAAGTTCTAGAATCCCGAGTCTCGCTCGGGCTAGCTTTCCCCTGATTTTATTCTCACGCGAACGCTTCGAAACGCAAAGAAATACGGCTTTGCGTGTTTATGCCTCTTTGTTAACAGCATGTTTCGTTATATTGTTCCACTAGAAATGTACACACATGCTAAAAGGTCTACCTCTCTCGGAAGACACACGCGTATTTTTCCCAAACTATAACGATATATAGGAATAATTCAATGCATGAACGCAAAGTTGTTTAATGTGAGAAATTTCCAGGATCGTAGCATGACTTGGTTGATGGTCTTTTATAATCACGCGCGCGTTGCACGGCAACGCGTTCCTCTACCGCGTACCGTACCGTTGAGAATCACTGGGTAGGAGAGAACACGTGTTCCATCGATCGATATGACCGGAGCCTGAGGGAGTTGCATCTCTCATGGACCACTAGCCGCGGTAGTCGTGTTGCACAGCCTTCCAAAATCCGAACATTCATCGAGAAACATCTTTATCGCACGTGACGATAAAATATATTATTCTTAAAAACAAAATAAAAGCAATTTTTTTTTCTTTACTGAGAGATTATCAGCTTCGCGCGTAATTTTCCGATATCTATTCTGATATATGAATTTATTCTCTTATATTCTCCTATATTCTCTTTCGATAGGATTATAAATTAGTAAAATCCTCCCCTCGCGAAAGAAAAAAATCGTTGTTCGATAAGAGCGAAGAGACGCGTACACGATGGGCGACAGCTTATTTCAAACTTATACGAGCCATTGCGAACCGATCGGTGCTTTGATTCTACGACAGGGAGCCGTCGACCCCACCGCGATGCTATACGTTTTTAATCTTAACGGTTCGGCCGGTTAGTCGTCGTTTCGCAATTGGTGCACTTCGGCGCAGCGCGCGGCGCGATGCACACAACACGGTGGATCTATACATTGCGCGCTGCAAGTTGCGAGTTGCAGACAAGTGCATGGTTCAGCGACCCCGTGTCGAGAAACGCCGCCGGGGCCTCTGGTCTCTGGTCCGGCGCGGCTCGAACGTTGGTCCGTTGCACGGCGTTGCACCGCTGTAACGCAATCTTTTCATGCAAAAGCACGGTGGGAAGAGGTCACCGTCGATTAGAACGCCAGAGTACTCGAGTGATAAGAACTAGAGCACAGTAAGAGTCACAACGTACGGAAAAAGAAAAAAAAAAAAAAAGATTTAAGCAGTAAGCGAATCGACAATATTGAGCGGTTCTACTATTCTTCAGAATGTTGGACTGCGATTGATCAATTCGTTTATCGCTTTATTTGTTAAATCTCCGATTAATCCGTTCGCTTATTGCTTAAGCTTTTTTTCGCATATTTATCGGCTTTAAATTACACAGACATCTTTAACGTACGTCATTCGGCTGCGATTTTTCATCTCAGAAAACGACATAAATATATTGCTTTTACTGCGCGAAAAAAATTTACATAATATGGAAATAATATATTCACACAAAATAACTTTAAACAATTGAACTTTGAACATTTACGTTATGTTTGTAGCAGCAGCTCGTGTGTTGCACGCGCGTAATAAAAATGAATCGTTTGATGGCCTAAAGGAAGAAATAACTTCAGTTGCGAGTGATAATTTTATGTATGATTCACGAGGTAGCGCGTTTATATACGCCGATGATTATCGCGCGGTAATCTAAGAATTAACTAACGCGAGTTTCACTTTTAATCGTGTTCTGTTTTTCCGCAGCTTTGACGCTATTGTTTCCGATATCGATGAAAAAAGATATTTCATATATACATGTATGTAGTGCCCATCAAGAGCGCGTTTGCAAATCTGCTAATGCAATGCAGTCCCTTCGTGTCTCTTACGTGTCGAAACTTCCTCTTGGAAAGTACGTAATAAAAGTTAGCTTAGTCACGGTTTCCTTGCTGGCGTTAGGTAAAGCACCGTACATACAACGGCGTATAAACATCGCGTAATTGCTACTTCCAAGTCCTACGTAGACGATATACCGTATATAGTGCGCCTCAATTATTATGAATGTAGATTATCAAGAGCTTGCTTCCCTCATCAACGATTCAATCGTTTTCATGTGCTTTTGATCGACTCTATCGATTCTATTCCTAAAATCTGTTGCTTTAACGCCCAGTAACCTGCTTGTGCTAAGAATAATATATGACAAAAATTTATAAAAATTTGAAGAATGCTCTGGAATATATAAATAAATTATTATAAAATAAAATAAATTTAAAAAAAAGTTCGAAAAAATAAATTACCGTGCGTGTAAATCTAGCGAGATGGTCTTAAGCTATCCCTAGGCTCCACTTCCGGGGACGAAGCTCTCGGTGTTGGCAAGACACGTTTCCGGGCAAGGCGGAGATATATTATACTCACCGCAAGCGATGAGCTCCGGTGATACCAGGCCGGAGAGATCGGGTTCCTCGCCGTACCAGAAGATCCAGAGCTCCTTGGCGGCGGTGAGGGAGAGCGGCGGGGGCGCGGGCGAGGGCGCGATGCCCAGGTCGAAGATGCCAGCCCCGGGCGCCGAAGCGGCGTTGGCAGCAGCCGCCGGGCCGGCAGTGGCCGGCGTGGCGGCTACTCGTCGCCACACGCACAGAATGTCACCAGCTAAACATCGCGAGAAACTCGACAATACCGGATCCTCGAGGGGAGTGCCACCGAATCCACCTGCCACTTCGCCCCACACGAGCTTTCTCCATTTGATGCCGCAGAGGGATGTCTGAAAGATAAGGAGCAACATTAGCAATCTCGTCTATAAAAATATCGAATGCATAAATGGAACTATATACACATACTTGTATACATGTATATCTATTTATATTATATTATATTATAATATATTAATTATATTAATAATATATTTATTAATAACAAAAAAGGAGTGACATATCAAACGATATATCGCTTGTATCAGACCGTTTTTCTTTAATGGGCTGCTGATTCAAAAATCCCAGAATTCTGTTCTATTGCTACTTAATTTGTAAGATCTAATTTTCTAGATTTCTCGTACAATCGATCCGATTTATCGGAAAATATCAATAGAAATGTGAATGTAAAGAATATCTATGATCGCGCGGAACAAAAGATAACATTGACCGTGACCAATTGCTAACTTTAGAATGCGAACGAGGATGTTAAATCGCAAGGTAATAAATTATCCTTTGAACGCGGCAAAACGTGCATTACCCAGTAAAATACACGTATGTAGCGGCTCTTGATCATCGAGAAAGCAACATCGGATCGGTCCTTGACCTTACGGCAGTGTTTCTATTTGTCACGCGATGTGACAAGTCGTTAATTTATTCAAACGTACATATTATCACATATACATATAGCAGCAGCGCGTCTGATGGTTTCAGCAAATAATTAGGCATGCGCAGGGTCTAATTGCTCGATTGATTAATCCATTTCAAACTGTTTCACCTAAGATACTTCCAATCCATTATCTGTCCACACATTTCGATCCTATATTAAACGCGGCTTGACCTTATAAAATATTCAATATCCCGTTGACATTAAATCACTCGACTTTAATCGATGCGTTATAGTAAAAATAGAAACGTTCTAGCAAAACACAAAATATCCTGCAAGGTTATACATTATAGGCAAAATTGTTTTGAAATTGAGATAACGTATGACTGCTTCAACAACTTTCTCTCCGACATAGATTTATATTTCGAGATGGCCATTCACTTTTCTTCCTACGCATTATTCGTTGAAGTTTTCTTTCGAAAATCAATTTCTTCCTTCGTGTGCATTATTTATCGGTGTTTTCATTTCTACTTTAGCTTTATACCTCGAAGAGAGATCAAAGATAATTGAAATGTCGGTATATAAAGTTACCAATACTCGAAATAATTGCCATTCCAGATTCACGCGTTCGCATTCAGGCTCTCTCATTCTCTTCATTTTATGATTCAACATCAGAGAGAGAAAAAAAAAAAAAAAAAGAAAACCCTCGTTTACTTTCTCTATTGATTATTCGTAATATAATATGATGAAAAACATATAGCTGTCAGCAACACTGAGATTTTTTCCGTACTAAAAATAACATGCGTGCAGAATCGATCGCAACGTATAAGGTCAAAGCCGCGATCCCGATTCGCTCGTATTTATCGCATTGCATTGACGGAAAATCGTCTTATCTCCGTTAACAAGAGGCAGGGAGGG